ATAATATCTATTGCCTTTGAATGATTTATACCGTGTGTCACTTTTACATAACAACACTGTTTCGTTGTTCCTTTCCGTACAGATAACATAATTATAATTGATTTTGAAAATGTATTTTTCAATTAAGACACTAAACTTATTATTACTTTACTTTTTTCTTCCTTTTTTTAAATGAATATAGACTTAAATTAATATTTATCAATTATAATTTTTTTCACTTAAGCATTTTAACATACTTGTTTACAAAAACAGTACGAAAAAGATGGCTGAAACTGACGCATGCGCACAAAAAAAAATTGTGATGAAAAGGTCTATTAAAAGACACATGTCTATTTAAAAAATCATCGATGCTATCACGCTCGTACATATGACGTACGACGTCACATACAACGCGCATTTAAATAAAAAAATCGACGGATTTCAGGATTTTCTTCCATAAGCCTTGGTTTCTTAGAACACTCCGTCGCGGTGAGCGGACAGTCAGTCGACCGCTGAGGACAGCAATTTTCGCCCGAGGCGGTTTGTTAAAAAATATAGAAAATTATACTTTCTCTAGGTCTGTACGTGCTGTTTATGTATTATGAATGTAAACGAAAGGTACTAAAATGGATGCAAATAAATAGTTTGCGTTATTATTGTTGGAAGAGGAAGAACAAGAGGAACTGGCAATTGCAACCGTCAAAGTTTCCAATAAGCCAGTGGATGAGTTGTTTTTGTGTCGCGATACAGAAGGTGCCTTTAATATCACTGTGCAGCGGAGGTTTTTTGGAAATAAAACCAAATTTAGGGAGTATTTTAGACTTTCTACAGATCTTTTTGAATTCGTGTTGAGTTTTATAAAGGACAGAATTTCCAAGAAACCTAAAAATAAAGTCATGATGTCATCTGTATGTGTGAATTTGTCACTCATTGTTTTAAAATTAATAACAATATAGTCTCCGCACACGCCGACGATTCCGCTGATATCAAACTCAACAGATATCAATCGACTCTTCGCGACAAATCAGCGGCATGACGCCGTCCTGCTCAGCTAAGCGGATTCAAGAAAACCATTCCCATTTAAATATTCTGGTTGAATAAAATCGTCAAAACGCGACGAAGTGTTCAAAGAAACCAAGGCTATAGACTACCGATTTACGAAATAATGTATTTATTCCTTTTATTTGCACCATACCGTATAAATGGAAATATAAATAAGTATGGTATCGTTTTCCAGATACTTACCTTAAGTTATATTGCTATTCCAGCTTCAGTTACATATTAGTTACAGTTGTTAATAAAGATCGTGATCAGCCCAAGGTGCATTTTACAATCTTTCGAGGTCTTCGTACGAATTTCTTAGCCAGATGTTTGCCTTCGCAGTACTCGCTAGGCGGACACACCGGTGGATTTTTCAGACATTCCGGAGATCCACGACAATCGGCTCTTGGACAGTCATCTTGTAAACCTGCATCGGTATTATCAAAAACAAATAAGATAATATATGCAATTCACTAAAATGCTTTTGTTAAAGACCTAGCTTTCCGTACATTTATACTGTGATATGCCAAAAAATAAAATTTTTAACTAAGCATTCCATCGACCTTTTAAAATGCTGCCCGTGGGTAATGACAGGTTATGATTTGATTACCCCGTGGGCCAGTTGTCTTTGACATAGTGATTCATTAAGGATGGCAACCGGCCGTATATCATATTATCTTAAGGTAGATTTTTTTTTTAAAGAAACAAAAAAACAGGTTGATTTTTATTTCTATAATATCCTCAACTGTCATATGTCATTCCTCTCCCCTACGTCAATCTAACCAATATAATTTAAATAGGGAAAGTACTAAGTATGGCACATCGACGGAAAGACAATTTTATGGAAAATTTAGCAATATGACTGTTCATTGCGTTCCTTTTAATTTAAGCGCGCTCCAGCGGGATAAAAATACCTATGTTAAAGTGTGACACTTCATTTGAAAACTAATTTTATTAGTAATCCACTGCACCACATAACATTAACCTAGATATCTCTATATTGCACTTGCAACAAAATTAATTTAGTAATAATGCATTCTTTCTTCCTTTTAAGATCATTCTTGATTTAGTTAACATATTACGTAGTGTATTAAATTATTAATAAAATTAGCTTTCAAATGAAGTGTCACACTTTACCATAGGTAATAATTTTTTTATCCCGGGAGGGCGCTAAAATTAAAAGTAACGCAATGAACAGTCATATTTCTGATTTCCCCATAAAATTACCTTTCCGACGACGTGTCATACTTGGTACTTTCCCTATTTAAATTGTATTGGTTAAATTGACGTAGAAGAGGACTGACATATGACATCAGGATAATATAGAAAGGTGTGCTCTTTGAAATAAAAATCAACCTGTTATTGTGTTTTTTAAAAAAAATTCTAGTTCAAGATATTCTGAGATACGACCGGTCGCCGCTCTTAATGAATTACCCGGTAGAGTTATACAGATTGCTTAAAGCGAGTCGTTTTGAAAGTGGCCATATTGCCTCTCAAGTGCTCATTAATCAGAATCAGTTTAGCAAACATGTGTTTTAAACTCAATTTTCAGCCTTTAAATATAGTAAAAAAATAATTGCCTACATTTTTACTTCAAGGCGTAATCTTATGTTTATTTTGAAATACATTGATGATTAATCTATATAACTAGCTCTATCATTGACCCTGTCAAATCACTAGGTACTCAGGATTGTCATATCATAACCCGTCATTACAACTCAGTGGTCATTACCCATGGGCAAACATTTTGTTTGGAATGCCTTATAGGAAATCTTTAAAAAAGAAAATATATGCGTCCAAATTTATTCGTTCAATTGTCAAATAAAATTTCATTAATTTAAATTTTATCTGGTACCAATGCGTGTCATCGATGACGTGCATTGGATTTTATATTAGCTTCGTTCGCGGTAACAATCCTGAACCGATTCAGAATTACTAATTCATAATTTAAGCGCATGCCCGATTCTATATCAATTCTGAATTTTTACAGCACGCGCATTCCCTATTATATATCGGTGTTCCAGGTTCCAATAATAATTTTACAGCGAACGCAGGTTAGAACCAATAATTCAGTTCTTTTTGTTCCGCGAACGCTTTTTAACTACTGCGCATGCGAAATCGTTACTGTTAGTTATAATTCGGTTCAGGATTCTTACCGCGAACGAAGCTATCGAATCTAGTATAACTATTCGCGATTTAAGCTAAGTGATACATACGCCCTCTGGAGGAAATTTGTAGAAGGTCCCTATAAGTAGGATATCGTTCAGTGTTGCCAAAAGTAGCAAAATTTCGCTACGTCGTCAGATTTTAGCTCTTGAAGAAGTGGATAAAACCTTTTATTTAAGAATCAAAATTTGTGTCTAGTAATATGTAATCATACTTTATATTTATTCAAGGATTTTTTATAAAACCGATTTATTTTGTTTTAAAATCAGTTCATCATTTGGCAAAATTGGCGTTCGTGTTCATTGTTTACATTTTAATTTGTATCAATTACAATTCGAGTTTTTTCTCACTTTTTAGCTTTAAATTTGTTTATTTCTTATAGTATGTGATAGTGTTTATATTAAAAATTAAATCTGCGAAAAAGTCCCCAGCAAATTGCAATCTTTATTGTGTTTATGTCAAAATTAAAACTGAGGTATTCATTATTTTCCAAGTGCAAGTCGTAAAATTTTGTTTTTTTATGATAAATGGATATCTACAAATTCACAATATTGAAATTTTGCAAAACTTTGTTTAGAGTCAAACTGTAATCTGATTTGTGACGGTTTTATTAGCATTTACATGTATACAAAGTACTACACAATTCACTTCTTAATATAAGAATTAGTAAGATTTTTACATAAAACATGTCCTGGGTTTAGTAAATACATATTTCTAGATGTTCTTGTATCAAAACCAATAGGTGAGTATTTCCAACAAATTAAGTCATTCGCATGATAAATATTATATTTATGACGAAAGCACGAGAAATAAACTTAAATTAACACTAAATGAAACTCAAAAACACTATGACAATGAGAATATTATGTTAAAACAGTTAAAAAAATCACAAATACAAAATCCGCCCAAAACAAACACATGTAAATAAACAAACGTCCTACTTATAGGTGACAAATGACAGGCGCGCGAAAATTAATTTGAATCGCGAATAGATTTTTGGTTAGTCCTAAGATTCGAAAACAAAATACGGTAACCTCTTCTCGTTGACAGGGAGTGGGAGCGATACATCACAAAAGTAGACAAAGAGGTGATTTTGAATGAATGAGGTACTTATTATTTTTGAATTATAAATAAATATATTATTTGAAATAATGATTCTTATGTAATAAAAGTAGGTTGTTTTATTCTATGACTATAGACAGAATATATTTAATAGAAGTTCAAAATTTATTTTGTATCCTTTCTGATTTAATATTTAAAATAAGTATTTTTAAAATAAATGAAAAATACCTAGTATCACAGATAATTTAAAATTTATTGAATAAATATAGTAACAATATTGAAACCGATTACTATCGTGAAGTACTTGCGCGGATTAGGCCACCCTATAGTCTACGAATCGTAAGTTAGCCCATACTTACTTTCCTTTTTATTCTTTTTTCTCATGTTTTTTTTTTTTGTTAGTTTGTAATACTTACCGTATCGTTTTTCGCAGTCGCATCCTTTGAACAGAAAACTGCCCTTCAATTCGAAAGATTTCACTCGTTTTGGCGGCAATGCTATAACATCTGATCGTTGTTTACTTCTCAATTGACAACAGCACACCTACAAAATTGAATTTTAAACAAAATAAACGAACAGGGTTCCATTTGAGTGACCTTTGTCTTTTATACAATACATAACTGGCCGAAGAAAAGTATCGACTTGGCTTCACATAAATTGTAAATTGATCTTAATATTTCCTGAAGATCAACAAATCAATTAATAAATAACCTTATTATTGTGAGCTGGAAATAAAAATACCATAAAAATTTCTAAACACTTTATTTAGTACTTTTACACCACATATACCTACAAATTATACTTGACAATACATTTTACAGACAATTATATTATTACACATCAATTATTAAAAAATAACGAAAAAATTAAGAATATTTTTTTAAAATATCCAAAATACCATGAATGATTTTTAGTCAGCAAACATTTTTAAAATGAGAATTACTGATCGTCACAACAAAGATCTGGACAGCTATTAAACCGAACTTTTTTCTTCAGTTTAGCCGCACAATTCTTTCTTTTAGTAGCTTTATTCGCATTAGATGGAATGTCAAATTCGTATTGTACAGATAAACCAGAACTAGATAAATCTGTAACCGCAGCGGACGTGCATACATCAGACTCTACAAATGCACTGTTCTTCTTTATAACATCGATATCATCTCTTGCAGAAGAAGAATCATCAACTTTTAGTACCTTGTGACAACATTGACATTCTTTATTACCACTCACGTCTTCAGAATCCAATATGGTTGTTAAATTTGGTCTGAAAGGCATCTTGATATAAGGATTCTCTGTAATCGTAGGAAATTCTAATGAATTTACGAAATTTGGTTCGTAAAATTGACTAAATGGACTGTCTGTAGATGCTTCGCTTGAATCTTCACCACCTAAGATTGGCGTATTATTTGGCACAGAAGAGTCTTCCTTGTCGCTAGCGGGTTCAAGATCTAGTAGATGTTTGGATTTAGAGACTGAGACATTTAGAGCGTAAAAAGATTTTGTTGATCTCTCTTTGTTATTTTTGACGTCTTCTATGGCTTGAATTGTGTTACTTGGATTATTACCAGAATGTTCAGTCAAAGAAAGCTCTAATGAACCACTGGAACTGTGAGGAGAACTTTCTTCTCGTTCACTAGCCACCTCATGCATATAACGACTGTCTTTTTGATCTACAGTCAACGCTGGCATGTTACATTTACAAAATTGTCTTAGCTGTATGCAAGGGCACTCAGTTTGAGCAGATGTGTTCACTTGTGATGGATGTTTTGGCGTAGAAGCAACTGAATGACTCGATTCCTTATATTCAGGACTAGATAAATCTGAAGTAGATAGATCTGATCCCAATATAGCAGCTCGCTTTTTCTCAAGCTTAGTATACTTAGTTTTACTTTTCCTGGTACCAGAATCAACGGTAATTAGTTGCAACATCTTCTTTTGTTGGGCTGTTGCTTCGATAGTTTGCGTAGACATCTTTTTTCCGAATAGTTCTTCAATAGTTTGTGTAGCCTGTTTTGGGCCAGAATATTTACGTGGTTCAGAATATCTTTCTATAGTTTGTGTGGACTGTTTGCGTGGTTTTATCTGTCTATCGATAGAATTTGTAGACTGTTTGGAAACAGAAGAATTACGGGGTTCTATCTGTCTTTCTATAGTTTGTGTTGATCGTTTGGAAACAACAGAATTGTGTGGTACCATCCGTCTTTCGATAGTTTGTGTGGACTGTTTGGATACAGAAGAATTTCGTGGTTCTATCTGTGTTCCAATTGTTTGTGTGGACTGCCTGGCATCAGACTTGTTTGGTTCAGAAGGTATTCCGTTAGTTGTATTTTGTTTCTTAGAAAATCTAACGCGTGTTTCTATGTCTGATTGCATAGATATATCTACTTTGGATGTGTATCTTCTCGATTCTATGTTAATTTGAGAAACTGAACCATTAGAGTCTAAACTGCTTTCTTTGGTTGATGATGATGATACTTCATTTTCTTTATTACAATATTTACAAATGAATTTACGATGATGGTGGTGATGTGGCTTAGAAGTTTGGGTATTAATACTCTCTGGATTGCTTCGAGCCGTGTCTGCACCATCAGATCCACTAGAGAGACTAATTAAAGCATACATCTTTGGTTTGATCAATGCTTTAGATTCGCCTGTGTCTTCAAACTGTGGTTGGACCAAGGCTTTAGATTCTTCGGTATCTTCAAATTGTGGATTTATCAACGCTGCAGATTCGCCTGTGTCTTCAAACTGTGGTTGGACCAAAGCCGTAGATTCGACGGTGGCTTCAAAGCAATTCTCGCTAGGTACCCGGACTAGTTTCATGTACCTTCTTCGGTTAAGATCGGAGATTTTCTGTCTAACAATTTGGTAGTACCGAGGCTTAGAGGTGGGTTTACCAATGTAGGTCTTGGTGAAGTAGCTGGGTCCGCAACAAGGTGGATTGGACACGCAGTAGGGAGAACCTTGGCAGCCGGTCCTTTCGCAGAGATCTTGCAAACCTATAAGGATGTTAAAATTAGCACTATATTGTCTATATATTGATTACAGTACTTTATGCAACTAGAAAGGTCATTTGACAGCCGACGTACCAATGCAGATTAACCAAAGGAAGTATGTCTACTAAATTTTAAATTATATATGGGACGAATCATACCAACAATGGAAGAATGAAAGAACATAAGGTATGATAATTAAAATTACCGTAATGCTTTTTGCAAACGCATTTGACAAAGTTTCCTCCTCTCAGTTCAGTTTCAGACAATCGTTGAAGGCAACAAACGCTTTGAGATCCTTTGCAACTTTCCAATCTGTATATCTTTGGCCGATACGCCTTGACGTAACGTCCGTCTTTGGATCGTTTTTTGTTTGACATTGATAAGCTTTCCTTTGACGTATTTTTGGGCCTTTGATAAGCTGCACTTTTTGGATCTAACAAAATGTTGATGGGTTTAAGCGACGTGTCTTCAACGAGAAGCATCTGCAAAAAAATGTATTTATAAGGAATCATATTTTTAAGAATCAAAAATAAACATACCGTCAAACTGATGGGTAACTATGACAAAACTATTTGGCGACATCTTGTTGCAACACAGACGAGTACCTACTTTTTTTATTTTGAAAATTAAACGCGCCATTTAGTAAATATAATATTTTTTAAGTGATACAGTGATTTCTGGCAATGCCGATTTTCCATTTTTTAATTGTAATGTTGCTAAAGAACTACTTTCTTAAATTTAAAATAACAAACATTAATCAAAAGTATTGATATACACCTCAAAATAACAAACCCAAAAATTGCTAACTTCATAGGTATTTAATTTTTTTGTATAAATTAACTGTTTTTGATATTCTGATGCGAAATGAAAAGTTATAGCAATTGTTGTATCATAGTTTATTACTTTGTCGTGTGTATTTCGCATTATAACATATGATTTTCAAACAGAACAGTAAAAGAAGAAGTAACCAAATTGTATTCCACAAATTTTGAGAAAATATTAAGACATCGCTCTTAAGACGTTTGTCTAAGTCACTTTGTTTGACGGTATTTAAAAAAAATATTTCATTTAAAAAATATCTATTTAGGAATCATTGTTCTAGATATATTTTTCATTTAGTCTAAAATAATAGATCATTTGTAAAAAATCAGCATTGCTCAATAGAAACCAGCATATGTAGACATAGGTACTATCATATTAAACGCTTAATTTTCAAGGATTATTATTAAGTTCTTCTATGTATAATCTGCAAAGTGTGATATAACGAATGACTTAAAAGGACAGACAAATAGAATTTTCTAATAGCTATTTATGTAACCAGTTACGAAATCTTATTTTGTGTAACGAGTAATAATTTGCGGGACGAGCGGAACGAGGTCCCGCAAAATGAACGGCATTTCGTAACGTGTCAAGCTTTTTTTAATTTTGACTTCATTATAAAATTGTGTTTGGTTATTTCAAAAAATTGTTGTATTCAATTGCCCTACGACGTTTTTTTAAGAGTGTGCAGTGCAGTGTTGCCATCTGATTTTTGACATTACACGAAAGAAATTTGAAAAAAAAAAGATTTTTACCCGTTATCCCTAAAGAAGCACGTCAAAATTTTACCCTCAACATTTCTGGGCCGTTTTCAATACGGTGTTTTATTATTTAGAAATTAAAACACAATTTACAGCTTTTATTTTTATTGCTGTTGTTAAACGTAATGTCAAAGTTTCAAATGTGAAATGTTACTATTCATTGCCTTTTTTTCGATTTTTCCATTTTTCCATTTTTCCATTTTTCCATTTTTCCATTTTTCCATTTTTCCATTTTTCCATTTTTCCATTTTTCCATTTTTCATTTTTCCATTTTTTATTTTTCCATTTTTCCATTTTGTCACATATGTGTCACTTTCCTAAGTGGTCGTAGGAAAAGTATATTTTTGAATGCTCTTCGATAAAAAATATTTTGCGAACAGATCAACCTAACGAAGAGTTGTGGATTATTTCAGCAAAATTCGATGATCTACCAATAGAAACCTAGTATGAAACTGCTTTACCGAGATGGATTCATGTCATTAGTTATTGCAAAACCTATTATGTCTATTCGCAAGTGACGTTAATTTCGCATGCAAAAACGAATCGAGTAAGTCAAAAATACAGTTTTGGTAAAAGTATACGTTTTCGCATACGTCAGAGTGGCGAATGATTTCAAAAATTAACCCCCTGGCGAGCCGCAGGTTGCCGACCGCTGCAGCGCTGGTCTAAAAAGTATACCTGCCTACTTTAACAGAATAAAAATAAATTATAGGTACATTATATTTTGATACGTTTGTAAGTATTTTTTTTTGTTCTCTTTCATAATTTTTTCTCTTTTACTGTTCAACAATTCAACGGCACGTAAATGTCACGAAACGTTTAAAACTTCAACTCATATTTTGGACGTAAACGTAATTTTTATGTGTTTACGTCTACTTCAACCCTCTAATATCGCAGAGAAATATCGAAATAATAAGTTTAAAATTAAATATAAACCTGCACAAAGGTATACGACCCACGCGTTCGCGTTATAGGACCCATGCTTAATTATTATTTAGCGATAGCATACTCTTGTTGGGGTCACATCTCAAAAGTTTGACAGATAGCGCCCACGTTTGTTTCTATCTACACCCACCTCTTTTTGGAGTCAAAAGAACTAGATTCGAACGCACGAGTAAATTCTGGATGAAGTATCTGGAAAATTAGGTTACGAAGTTAATCAAATATGCGAAATAGGTTTTCCATTCTCAATATATACTGTAATTATTTGTCGTTGATTAGTGACTTTTAACTCTTGCGTCCAGCCACTTTGTATTATTTCTTGACGGTAAATAATATAATAAGTAATGTATAAGAAAAACGCACTTTAATTCACTATAATAAGTAGTACGACATTTTTTTTAAAACGTCACGAATGTCAGTCCCAGCGACGAAAATAGAACAAGTGTTGTAGGGGAAAGAATGGTAAGATGACCTACTTAAGATTACAGTAAATATTTTTACCAAATGTTGATGTAATGGGTTGACTTTTAAGTTGCTTATTAAAATATGTATTGCAGTTTCCTTGGTGATAATAACAAAATGCTACATTTGTTGAATTTGAGTAAGTACTTACATATTTAATTTTTAGCAATGATGACAAATAACCACTTTACCCATCCTAGTTGGGTAAAGTGGCCATCAATTGCCCATTTCACTTGACAACTACTTTATTATTAAGACTTGAAACCAAAACTATTACAATATTAAAAGACTTAAATTCAAACTTACACTCACACTTACAATTTTAAAAGCACAATTCACATGTAAAATCGTCATCGTTGTCATCGAAAATTGCTTAGGCTTCTTATACAGCTATTTTGTTGATTTGCCTGTGACAGGAATTCAGTACAATTCAGATATACAGTATTCAGTTCCTTAACCATAGCCTATTCGGAATTTTTTTCATGTATAATCTTATTTTACGTTCTTAAAATGAGAGAGAATGGAGGGAATGCATAAAATTTTAGTGAATTCCATTGCACAGTAATGCATCGATAGCTACTGCATCTGGATCTCTTTGCCATGATATGTATCTAGGGCATTTTGCATTTAGTCTTGATGCAAAAAGATCAATATCTGGTTTACCAAATCAAGAAATGATTTCTTTAAATGCATAGCTTGCTAATTCCCACTCTGTCTCCGAATCAACGATTCGGGAATTTTCATTAGCTCTATTTGCTCCTGATGGGATGTAAGAGGCATACAACCAGATATCCCTTTCATCACACCACTGCCAAATTTGTTTGGAGAGGTTACTTGGCTCGGGAAATTGTACACTACCCCTCTTATTAATGTAAGCTATGGCTGTGGTATTGTCAATATGAATCAAAATACTACAGGAACGCAAGTCTTGGCAAAAACACTTTAAGGCATAGAAAGCAGCTAATAACCCTAAATAGTTTATGTGCTTTTTATCCTCCTTCCACCATGTGCCTGTTCTCCCTGGCAAACAGAACCTCATCCTGTTTGGGATGCATCTGAGTACAATTCAATGAGATATGAATCACATTGGATATTATTAAATGATTTAAAAATATTTTTAATCCACCATTCTAAGTCAGGTTTTATAAAGTCTGGTACAGCCATTTGTTTATTATAATCCTGATTACCTATTCTTAATGCTAAGTATCGAGCTCTTTCTAAGGATTTTAAATAAACCCTACCATACTTAACTGCTGGATATACAGCAACTAATGTACCTACAATCTTGGTAAATTCTCTAATTCTTACAGAATTTTTATGCAGTAATTTATTTATTGACCTAAAAATGCTAGATTTTTTGTCAAGTGGCAGTTCAATTATCATTTTCTGTGAATTAAACAAGAAACCTAAAAATTTACAAGTCTGAGAAGATTCTAATATCTCTATTACAAGATTAACATGAGCCTTACATTCCTGTTCAGTACTAGCAGCGACCCAAAAATCATCCAAATATGAAACACAAGTAACATCTGATTGTCTAAGATAACTTAGTTTAGGTCTAATTATTTTGCTAAAAACATATGGTCCAGTGGATATACCAAAAGGTAAACCATTAAACTGATAATAGGTTTTACCTACCTTAAATCTTAAATATTTCCTAATTTTTTTGTGAATACTCACTAAAAAGTAGGCATCTTTTAAATCAATTGTTGTTATAAATACTGATTTTTCAATTAATTTTTAGTGTCAATGAACTTATTTAATTTTTTAAGATTTAGAATAAACCTTTTCGAACCATTTGATTTATTAACAAGGAAAAACGAAGATAAAAATTGGCCCGAGGATGGCCTGCATTTTTCAACTACACCCTTGAGATGAAGTTCTTTTAGTGGTTTATAAATTTTTGCACATATTTTGGGTATTTATCTAGAGATCTACGATCTGATTGTCTATGTTTTGTACGGAAAGGAATTTTGTACCCTTTAATGATACCTCTGATAGTTTGGGTAATAGGCCATTGTTCCCACCTTTAACAAACCGTCTGAGCTGGTTGTCGCTGTCGAGAATGTCGAGGATATTGTCCTCTCTACCCTGGATACCTATTCTCTAACTCAAACGGAGATTAGAGTGACATTGTTAATGTAAAAATGTCATTTTAAACTTCGTTTAACACAACGGTGGAATCGGTCCTAAATAGTTCAAATTTCCTTTGTGATAAATACGGACCTAAATCTGGCAAGCCCGCAATTCTCTCTCGCATGGTATAAAATCTGACCTTACTACGCATGTACCTGGGCTAAAAGTGATTAAGCACGATACACCCATCTAAGAGTAAGAGAGCAAAATATATGGGAGCACTCCCATGGGAGCGCCCCCATGACTTAGTGAATAGCTATCCAGGTGTCCTCGAATACCTGAACGGGCTTCGGATTTTTGCAAGGAATGAGTGTTTTTAATTTTATTACCCAAATTGTCGCCAAAAAGATATCTAGAAATTGGGGCTTTGTTTAAAACCTCCTGAACTGATTTATCTACCTGGGGAATAATTGCCCTTCTCCTAAATAGTGATAACCGACAATAGAGAACTGTCAGGATGTCTGTACCTTGTTCTGTAAACTTTGTTTTTAATGAATTCTGTTGTGTCTGTATGTAATATATTATTTATGGCAAACCCTATAATAGCCAGTCCTGTCCCCAACTGATTTTGCCTGGATATTTGGATATTTCCATCTTGGCTGGGCCATCAGGTAAGGCAAAGGCAATCTCTAAATTCAATTCTGGGGCAATAAGCTCTGGCAAATTAGTGCAAGATGGAGCTTTCTGCGACATTTCAAATTTTTTGTCCTTATCTAAGCCCTGACTTACAATTTCTATCCATTTGGTTTTAAGGGCATCATGCAAATTATAACAAAGAGTGTTCTCTTTAACGGTTCCAATTATTTGTAATATAGAATTGTCTAAGTCATCTGTATTTTCGAGTAGAGGAATCTCATCATTTAAAACGGATTCTGCCAATGGAGAAACAGGGTCAACCTGGTCGCCGCTCTCTCTGGCCTGTGGCATCGATAGAGCATCTTCCGCTGTATAGTCTCCGGCCTGTGGCCCTAGACGAGACTCATTGTGCCTCCCTTTTTACTTTCCTATCTGTATACAGATATAAGGAAAGTATAGGAATCATGATTTTTTTCGACCTCGAGTTTTCGACGGATTTTTACGTTTTGAGGTCCCCTGAATCCGTTTTGACTATTTTCGCGATGATGTCTGTGTCTGTGTGTCTGTGTGTGTGTGTCTGTATAACGCATAACTCATGAACCGATACACAGAAAAACACCAAATTTTAAACTTAAGCTTTGTTTCAGCGTCCAATGAGCTGATTAGATTTTGGGCAGAGTCGGAACATCTGGGAGGGTACTTTATAGGTGGTCATTTTTATATTTTATGGAATATATCTGTTATTTACGTTTGGAGAAGAAAATTCTTCAAATAAAAGTTACTTCTAATATAATTATCTATAATTTTTGTTATATGCAAAATTTTCCTAAAATGGTCCGTATTCGAGAAATTTGACAAAAATGTAAAAAAAATAATTTTTTATAAAAATTGTTCAAATAAAAGTTGTTTGTAATATAATTCTCTATAATTTTTATTCTATACATAATTTCTCTAAAATGGACCGTATTCGAGATATTTGAGAAAATGTGTAAATTTCGAATTTTGAAGAAAACTCAAAAACGGATATAGAAAAAAACATTAAATTTTAAACTTAAGGTTTATTTCGGCCTGACGTGCAATGATTAGATTTTGGACAAAGTCGGAACATCTGGGGGGGTACTTTATGGGAGACCGTTTTTATATTTTATGGAATATATGTTATTTATGTTTGGAGAAGAAAATTGTTCAATTAACAGTTACTTCTAATATTATTTTCTATAATTTTTGTTTTATGTCAAAATTTCCTGAAATGGTCCGTATTCGAGAAATTTGACAAAATGTGCAAAATTCTGATTTTTTTTGTTTTTACGTAATAACTAGATAGGAAAGTCATGTGTTGGACACATCAGATTTTTTATAATAATTATCCCCGGCCTGTGGCCTTAGATGGAATTTATGTTCTCGGGGAGAACGTAATGGAGATCTAGTTCCTCCCTGACGAGGAGTAGATATTGTTCTAGAAGATCTACTGTGACTGTGAACTACGTGAATGGCTTCTTCCATGCATTATTTCCTCCTGCAAACTTTGAAGTTGTTTTTCTAGCCTGCGTAACCGATCTCGGGAGCCAGATCATTCTGTTTTCCTTTTCTTCCCCATTTCGGCGAAAAAAAACCTGGGAGATACTCAACTAATTGCCTCTTTTTGATAATTTAATGAAACAATGTGTCCATTTTCGCACTGAAAAGCGTAATGAAGGCTTAATAGCTAGGGGGCGGGAAAGAGGAGATTCTTCTTCTTTTTATTTAAAAACAGTTGCCCTTAGCACTACGGAAGCGCTAACTACACAGTTAAATCTAATGATCTGAAGGACAAGGCGATGTCATATAATTATGGTAGTAGGTAACTGACTATTTGAAGCAGATTCGTATAGAGGGCGGTACTTAGATTGAACTATAGATTTATGTAGCCACTTTATGATTAAAAATGACAGATAATGGTTTGAATCGAAAGAAGTTTGTTTCGCAGTGATGGCCAATCTATATACCACAGCGATAATTCACTGTGGTATTGTCACTTATTAATAACAAAATTAAGTCAACTCGATTGGTCAAAAGCAACTTCACGTGATATAGCAATAATTGTATAAAATGGCATGTATGCTTTCTAAAAATCGTAAATGTGTTTAAAAATTGTTATCGATTTTTTTTGTGAAAATATTTACCGGTTCTTTAGGCGGAAAAGGGGGAGCAGGGCCTTTGCAACATTCACCAGGACATGCGGGTGGGCAACTAAAAGTCTTCTTCAGAGCTTCAATCACGCATTTCAAATTTTGCATAACCTTAGCTGGATCATCTAAACAAAACAAAAATTAAATTAAGAGATCCATAGGAGTAGCCAAAAAATGAGTATCCACGCATTTGATTTTGATCTTTGATTGGGTCAGTAGCTATCTTGAATTCAAACAAAAAGTGATACAACAAAGTAGTAATAATCAAGACATGAAAGATCTTCAAAATTAATATAACTATAATATGTTTTCATTTTAAAAATAACTAATTTGAGGCAATTGCATGTAATGCATGCTAATACCTCGCAATATGCAATACATAATGAACTTACTTGGACACCCTCCCGCCATTTTGATGAATAATTTTTTGGACGGAGAATTTAAATCTGCATCAAATCTGTGAATGGGTCAAAAAAGTTTGCCTAAATTTAGAAATTTAGATCCGAATGGAAATTTTGATTAATGTGACATGTTAAAAAGTTTTTGAATTTTGATTATGAGTATAATGACAGTTGGACAAGACTAACTGAGTAAGGTTAACCTACATGTTAAAAAAAGGTATAAGCCAGTGGAAATTTGTTGGATGCGCACTATTTAATCACTCGTACATACAGGGTGATATGTCCCTGAAATGTCTGTACAAAACGCTAGTACACACGGTTCGTAGAAACTAACCGTGGTTAACACAAACTCATTAGGTTAAAATATAAGGATCTAGCGTGGGATCTAGCTCAATTTACACAAGGTATCAAAGTTTTTTTGTACTTTTTTGTAAATATTTGTAAATCTAAATCTGAACACAGTTTTTATGTACACTGCAGAGGGCGCCACCAGAAGCACTATTTGTGCCTCGGTGTATTACATTTCTATTTAAAAATGTAGGTTCCTTGATATCATTTGTACAAAAAAGGTATACTTAATAGAAGTCGCTACGGGCATCCGTTTATTTAGAGTTATATTTATGATTATTATTATTTTTATGTCATCAAATATTTACTTACTCTAATGAACAAATGCTCGTAAATAAATAGAAAATAAGTAAATTATGTAAATTAATAAAAAAAATACAAAAATTAATTTATATTTTGTTAAATTAGAAACGTAAGCCACTACTTTTTTTAATGTTACCATTATTGTTTATACTTTTTAAATAGCTAGGCTTTTAAAAGACGTCTTTAAGACGTCTTTTTTAGGTCTTTAGGCGTTCGGTCATAACTATGACATAAAACAGACGTCTTTAAGATGTCGTGTGCTGTCTGGGATTTCTATTTATACAAAAAATGCAGACATAATGTCGGAAGTTTAATACAACTTGGCATCAATGGTTTATATCCACTCAACGCTTTGACCTGACTTTCGTTAGCGGGAACCGGTAGCATTTAGAGTAAATGGGTTTGAGTAAAATACTTTATTAAACAGTAATTGAGCGTGGTTGGTTTTCAAGATATGTAACGGTTCTCAGTTGTGATTTGGTCACTTTTCAACTCCCGCCTCAACAAAGTTCTAAAAGATCTATTTCTACGCCAATGGAAAAAGGGGTTGTTTAGTTTATTTAGAATTTCGATATGTTCTTATAATAATTTGGTAAAAGTACTCGATCTTTTTTTTCTTTTTTCGTAAAATCCGTCATCTTCAGATTTCCTATTACCATTATGAATGAAATAGGATATGATTAATATCACAGTACATATTGGCTGACCACCCGCCACGCCGGTGTCTGTCCATTATGGGGATCTGTAGTTGTTCGTCGTTGGGATCTACAGTAAATAATATTAAATTTCTCCCTATCGATTGCACTGTCTATTGGCTGTTCAGGGACGGACTTTCCATTATGTGTGAATGTGTAAAATACATATCACTCAGTACAGTCACTGTATATTTCAGCAGTGTAACTTTGTATTATGTCGTATATGTCCTCTTGTATACCAGTATGGAATTCTCACATAATTCCATTTTAGAAATCGCAATAGGGGTATTCTTCTATTTTGGACACATTCGTGTATCTATTATCTAAGTTAAACAGTAGTTTCTACAAAAGGGAATGTGCTGGAGATATGGAAAATCCAAAGTTGTAAAATCTACAAAATTTTAAAAATTAATTTACAGGTTATTAAGATAAAATAAACAATTTTTAAAATAATTTATGATTTAACCAATTTATAAAATGTATTGGATTTAAACTCAGGTTCTTTCGCTTTTAGATAGTTTTATTAAAATTTACGATTTATTTATAAATATAGATGAATATCTTGTAGAATGCTATTATCTATAGATTCTTCACAAGAATTACTCATTTTTAATTATATTAAATCTAAATAATTGAAAAATATGCTAACAATTTTTTTGACAGAATAGTCACCAATTTAAAATTTTCAAATTTAATAGTAACCCAGTACCAAATATTAACAGTAGTTGGAGGATTTCATATCCGTAAAGTGTCTTTATTAGAATGAATATGAAATTATATCCGTTAAGTAAAACGCAATGGTCTAATTTTTACATTCTGTAGGTTTACGAACCTTGAATGCTACAGTTAAGTTTCGATATTATCGACAGCTGATTTTTACAAATGTTTTCAACCTTAGAATAAAATACCCAAAACAAAAAAAAAGTATTTTTTACCTTACCGATATATGGCAGATATCAACGACAAAAGTAGACAAAAACCCAAAAATTAAATGAAAAAAATAGACTTCTAATGTGACCCGATCTAGTGAAAATGTTTTTACAAAATCAGTAAAGGCATAAACAGTGAGAAGCTCTTAATCAATTAAAAGTATAATTGAATCTAGTGATAATGTTTATATAAAAATAACAAATTAAATATAAATCGGTAAATGTTGAAATTCCTAATAAACAGTGAGACGCTCTAAATCAATTAACAGTATAATTGAATCTAGTGAATATATATTAAACGGAAAGCTTCGAGATAATACATAAATAAAATAAAAATAAATAAAACAAATATAATTAAATAGGTAATTTTAAATAATTTTTTGGAACATACCCTGTATAATAATACATAACCTGCGCAAATGTTGCCAATTTCTAAAGAAAGGTTAACGGAGTAGGGGAACTGGGTGGAAACCCGAACTCTGTGACAGGGACGGCCTTTGTTTATTACTATCATAATGAACTATTAGATTTACTAAAATGGTGTTTAATGGAATGTTGTATTATGAAATAAAATTAACGTGATTTTATTAATATCAAACAGATGCTACGACATTTTATGTAAAGAGAAGATCTTTTATAGAATATTACGTTAGCGTTTATTTACTACGGACTTTTCTGCAAGAGACTACAGTAAAATATTGAAATAGAATATTGTTAATCGAGCAAGAAATGGTACTCATTGTCTAGTATTATAAACAAAGCATGTGCGCAGATGAATACTGCAAATCAAGCCTTGTGAGTTGAACAGTATATTTTTTCTACGGCTATCACATAATATTAAAAATTAGTCAAAATGAAAAAATGCTGTTTTGTATTGTAACCTCAGAAAAATGTATATTAAAGCTTCTTTCTTTGGGAATATTAATTAATATAGAGGATAAGTCACATAAAACTCTAGAAATGCATATGTCTGATACCAGATAACATTTTAAAATTTAAACCTATTAAAAGTAATTTGGTCGCTAGGGGTTGATGATTATCGAAATAAATTATCGTTCATTGATAATAATCGATTATTTTCGATCAATCGATTATTTTCAAACAATCTATTTTCTTTTTCGTATTTCCTTTAAAATCGACTACTTGATTATCTTTGAAAAATAAAAAAAATTGATTAATTAAAAAGCCAATTAACCGATAAATCAGTGTTTACAAAAAATAATAAACCAATTATCGTTTATGTTAAAAATGTTGAAAAATCGATTAATTAATAAGTCGATTAACCGATAAATCGATTTTTCAAAACAAATCCGAATTATCGAGTATTTTAAATAATCTATTTTGAATAATCAATTATTCGATCATCTTTGAAATACCGAATATAATCGTTTATTTGAAAAAATTGATTATTTGATTCTTTGAAAAATCGAAAATAATCGATAAATTGAAAATAATCTATTAATAGAAAGCTGATTGACCGATAAATCGATAATTCTAAAAAAATAACCGAAATATCGATTATATAAAATAACCGATTATATTCGATCAATCGATTATTTTCATATAATCTATTTTTTACGTATTTCCTTTAAAACAAATCATTCGAATACTTTTGAAAAATCGAAAATAATTGATTAATCGAAAATATTCGGTTAATCGTAAATAATCGATTAATTAAAAAAGCCGATTAAACAGCATTTTCTAAAAAAATCGGTTATTTTCAATGAATCGAATATTTTGAATACATTACTTTTTTTTGTAATTCCTTTAAAATCGATTATTCCATTAAGATCTTAAAAAAACAAAAATAATTTATTGAAAATGTTCGATTAATCGAAAATATTCGATTAATTGTAACGGATAAATCGATTATTTTTGTAACCCCTATCGCTTATTTTTATCCGAGCATTTAGCTACAAAATTTAGAGATTCGGATTTTTTGATCCTGTTATCTTTGAAACCGCCTTCGATTGTATAATAAGTAATAAATATTCCTAGAATTTAGATTTTTCTAGTAAACGAAGATTTTTTTCGAGTGGTTTATTATGTAACATTTTATTAACAATATGACTAACTTCCGTAACTTTAGTATTTTTTTTGCTCATACTAGATCATATTGTGCGTTTTACTTTGTTTTAAGACTTAAGATTTAACTGTCACTTCCGATTTAACCGCAAATAAGATGAACCTTGAAATTTTAAGTAGGTGATCCTGTATTTCATCTAATAATCTTATAAAAATATCTTATAAAAATAAAATTCCGCTAGTAACTATGCTTCTTTACTTCTTATTTATTACCAAAAAGGGCTTAAAACCACCTTTAGTAAATATTCTTATGAAACTATTTTTTGAAAACAAAATTTCGTTAGTAACAATGCCTATTTACTTCTTATTTAGAATAAATGTTTAAAATTGTGTCCTTTTGTAAATTTAGGCTTTATGAAATCTGTTTTCTGAAATATGTATTTGATGCTTAATATTTATTGAAACCCCTTAATGCGGATCTGAAGTATTCAGCACAAGGGATCATGGCGGCTTTATGTCAAAACGTTAATAAATATTTACCGCTGAAAATGAATATATTTCATATTTTTCATAACATTGGCACTTATATTATTTATATATACACTTTTTCACGATACATCGTGGCATTTTCAACTTGAAATTGAATAACTAAAACACTTTAAATTGCTAATAACACCAACAAATTATTCAAAAAAGGCAGTCAAAGATGATTCACTCACGCGTAGGATATAAATGTCGGAGCAATTCGGGTGGCGTCGTGGACACAATGATTTTTAATTGGTGGGTTACTTAGGGTTGGAATAGACAACGTGCGTGATGTGTAATGTTACATCTCCGGTCTCTTTTATCTAAGGTTGTTCCAAAACTTTTGTTAATAAATAAATAAAAAATACCATCAATACGGTCGCACCTCCAGG